AAAAATTAAGCTCACAAAATTTAAACTTTTGTGCATTTTTGGCCAGCAATTTCATTTCTATAGGAATATTCCCACATATATACAAAGATTAATATACAAGAATTAGACATATATTGATGGTGGCATTGTTTTTTCTCCTCTGCAATAAAAACCACATTCAAAGTGGCATTGTTTAATAAATTTAAATGTTTTAATAAGGGGGACTGTTACATAAATTATGTAAATTTACAGTATAGAATCCAGTTATTTATTCAGTTAAAATAAATCCTTTTTTTGAGATGGGGTTTTGCTCTGTTACCCCATAGGCTAGAATGTAATGGTGCAATCATGGCCTACTGCAGGCTTGAACTCCTGGCCTCAAGTGAGTCTCCTACTTCAGCCTCCCAACAGGCTGGGATTACAGGTAGGAGCCACTGTACCTGGCCTAAAGTAGATTCTTGATATGGTAACTTCTCACGGATATATTTTTAAAGGAGAAACAAAGCAACTAATAAAATAAAAATATATGAAATGATTTCATTAGGAATGAATGGATGTGTGTTTCACATAATGAAAAACTAAAGCTGCCTAACTCCTTCCAAACAAATTTGGAAGGCCACACTATTAGTTAGCAATGGCTACTTGGCTGCTTTTGCAAAGGATACTAGAATAACATGGCAGTGCTGGCAGGAATGTCGAAGGGGCCTCTCATTTTCTACCATAAACATTGTATGGTTTGATTTTTGTTCTGCACTGAGCATGTCCTGGGTTTGTAAATTTTAATCCAACTTAAAGCATAAAGCTATAAAGTCTTATGCCATGATATTCTTGATTTGGCAACAACGTGTCTGTTCACTTCACTTTATCTTACTGTCATAAGCAAACACTAGTTAAGAGTCCCAGACTAAACCTAGAGTGTATAACTGAACTTTGTGTTCTTCAGGCAGTAGTTTCATTCTCAAGTAAGTGAGAGGAGTCTGTTGTAGTGGGTCCCCATGTGTGCTGAATATTTCAGAAATCAATAGGGTGGGCAGCCACTTTACATTGAAAGCAGCTCTTGATGACATCTCACTAGCAAGAGTGCTTCTCATACATCTGCAGCAGGTATGGATCACTCTGTGGCATGGCTGACTGTTTACATCCTGTGCCAACTCAGCTGATACGTAATTAACATTATGTCTTGATAGCCTGCTGTTGTTTGTAGCAACTTCAAGTCATGATTCTGACACATCAACAACAAGCAGTGAACACTTTGATACAGGGCCAAAACAACACAGACATCTACTCGGTTTCCAATGATGTCATGCAGTCAGTGGCCTCATGAGCACAGGACTCATTATGCCATCACTCCCTGGCCATTTTTCTAATAGAGTAACACTGTTTTGTACCTCATGAAATGAATGATCCAAACAGATATGATTATTCACATATCTGTTTGTCTTCAGATCAACTGTAGTTATGTGCATCAATGTAATCATAGCAGTATGGCACAGGAAATATAAGTTTGACAGAACTGGATTAACTTGACTCTACCACTTACTAAACTGCAATATCCTAAGTTCCATAACCTCTCCCTGAATTATTTTCTTATCTGTACAATGGGCATAATAATAATACCTATCCTCATAGGCTTATTCTGATAAGATAAAGTATTAAAAATGTTTTACATAAATGCTTGCCATACAGTAATTGCTGAATGATTATTAGATTAAATATAGCAATAATTATATTAATAGGGGAGTGCTTCAGAATTTTTTATTTACTACAGAATATGCAATACCTGGGACATACATTTTTGAATAGGAATTAGTAGAATATAGAATGAAGTAATAATCCATTTGCTCAAATCTCAAATACCGAGTTTTAAAGGTATTAAATTATTTTATTATAGTAAACTACAATATATTAAAGTATCATAAGTATTTTACGCCAATGATATCCTTCAAATCTAATATTAAAACACTAAACAAGCACAATAAAAATTAGTAACAAACAAATACAAGTTTCATTCTGGTATTATTTCAAGTATATTCTTCAAAATCACTGTTCTTTCAATTTGGCTTGAACCAAAATTTACCTTCATTAAAAAAATGCAGCCTCTTAGAAAGCATTAAGATCTACTTATTACTACAACCACATTGGCATCAGAATATAAACAGAGACCAAAATGATCTTACTTAGAAGCCAAGTAAACACTCAATATTAACAAATCATTTATTTTCCCACCTTTTGGCTCCAATTTAAATGTTTATATGAGAGTCTTTGAAAAGTCTTTTCACCTCAGTGGCTCCTTGAGTGTTCATTTTGAACAATGACTTTACAGCTGGCCAAACCTAACTCTCAATCAATTTTTATGAGTACAAATTCTTGAGCTGATGGTTGGATTTCCAGCGATATCACTCATATAATACACACTCACAAGTGGTGATGAGATTCACATTATCAACAGAGCACCATTCTGCCGATGGCAGCGGCAGACACAGCAGGGGTATACTGTCCTCCTTATGAAAACGATTCCTTCGCCTTTCAATAATGCAGCCTGCAGGTATGGACCTACAAGCTGTGTGTGGGTAGAATCAGAGCTGCCTTTAAAACTACTAATAAAACTACCCAGTTCCTCCCAATGGGTCATTCTCATTGAATCTCCATACATATCCATCTTGATTTTGAAGTGTGTGCCTTCAATTTGCCTTCTCATTACATTCCAAATTGAATGGAAGATTCAATTGCGTTTAAAACTTCTCAGAATACTGGCATGGATTCTCAGTAAATTTGGGCTTGGAATTCTCTGCAGGAATGCATGTGGATATATTCACATATATGAGTATAAACTAATTATGTAATGCTTAAATATGACTTCAAATTTTAAGAAGACACCTCAGGTAGAATAAATTCAAATTCAAATTCAGTTTGGTGGTATTTTTAAAAATTTAAATTATGAAACATATGAGTTTGCCTACTTTGATTTATGTTAGATTTTGCCTTTAAAATGTAAAGCATATTTTTGTCATTGAGAAAAATTTTAGCTCCCCAAAGACATGGCTAATATTCCCTCAAAAGCATATCAATTAAGAATCTCAAAGTATTACAATTCCTTTCTTCATTTCTAAGCTCTCTTATGAGTAATAATCAAAGTATACACGTTTGTCCTATAACTTCTGATTCTTATGATCATGTGCTAGAAAGCAAGATAAGGAGCAAAGGATTACTTTGAACCTTACCTAGTCAAAAGCATGAGGTGATCATTTGACCTCTTATGACTGATCTACAAAAGCCTAACTTTCATATTAAAACAATTAGTTAAAAACACTTTAAAAAAAAACAGTGACTAATGCAAATGATATGCTGAACATTTCTAGTTATTGGGTTACATTCCCATGTTCTTTCATACCTATTTCCACCAGTTAAGATCTATGCTTACTAAGTTAGCTGAGTTTGTTCCCAAACTAGTTTATGCTAACATTAGCTACTGAAATTATGTAGTTAAATGAGATTTTACGTAAACGCATAAAATAACGGAAAAGCTGCTGTTTCTATGAAAAATTAGCTGAATGTTTTAGAAAAAGTTGATACAGAAAAATCACTAACACAACCTTGTCAAATTAGATATGGACGAGATATGTCCATAACATATAAATAAATGTCCAGAAATATCTACTAAACTTGCTTACGAAATGCATTTAAATTCATGCACCAATGTAAAAAACTAAACCTGGAAACTGTAGAAGATGCCTTAAGGTTTTTGAAAAATAGATCACTCACAGCCCCAAACAGGTGACTTTTTCAAAGCAAATGCTTGGGCTCTATATCAAAAAATTAACTGTGTGTGCATGTGTATGTATCTTTTACTAAAGTGGATCAAATATTAGTTCTAATCACATAAGAAGTAGTTATCTTTTAGTCAGAAAAAAAAAAAAAAACAGACTGACTGTTTGCCATGTAGATAAAACTACTTTTCACTGAGTTTTCACACTTTTCATGGAGTTACCAGGCTAACATGGGATATCAATAATGTAATTTTATCCAGCAATTGATGGATGGCTGTAAGTATCGCTGGAAGCCAGCAAATGATAATTTTCCTTCCTTGGCATTTTACCATGTCATTCTGAACTAGCCCAGTTAAGCTTGTTTAATGGGTATATAGGAATCAATGAGATTTTACAGAATGTTTTATGTTAAAAATTCCAAGAGCGATACTCTTTTCATATATTGGGAACAAAATAGCTTGGATTTCTCATGGACTGGAATGACATTTATTTAGAAAGGTATTCTTTAATATAAATTTAACTTAATTAGTATAGCCTATGAGCAAAGGTTATCCACGATTACAAAAGAGGAGTCAGCCAAACTGAATGTTCTAATAATCTATGTTCAGAATCCAATCATCTATAAATATACACCAGTCAAGTTGACTTAAAAACATATTCATGTGAACAGGTGATTTGTTGGCTTATTTGTATTAAATTTGGCATATTTGAATTAAATGGCAGTGTATTTGCATTAAATATGCCAGTTAGTATAAATATTTATATTAAAATGAGTGATTATAAGTATTATGCTTTATATATAAAATATAGAATGATGCAGTGGTTCTCAGGGTATAGTCTTGGAATCTCAGAGATCTCCAAGATCTTTCCAGAGGGTCTATAAGGTCAAAATTATCTTTATAAGAATATTCAGAAGTTATTCCCCTTTTTCATACTTCTTTTCCCATGAGTATAAAGTTGAGTTTTTAAAAGGCTACATTTTATGTGATATTACAACAAATTGAATGCAGAAGCTGATGCAAGAATACAGTTACGTTCTATTAAGCCAGAGAGTAAAGAGTGCAAAGGCATAAAACAATGCCACTTATTTCACTAAGATGTTTGGCTTGGAGAACAGTTATTTTACACAAATATAAAGCAGTTACATTTAGCATTAGCATGTAATGAATGTACTGCTTTTATTTAAACTGCCTTAAACATATTTTAATTTCTGAAATGGTAAATGTTGATAGATATAACCCATATAAACGAATTTTGAGAATTGCTATCTTAGAATGATTATTTAATAGGAAAAAAATGACTAACCTGAACTAGAACAAAGTAACGTTTTTTCCATCTTTTCCAAACCTTCTGTCCAAGGGCATACAGATATCTGGAACGAAAAACAAAAAGCCAAAGAATACTTTAGATGAATAATGCTGTGTTTCCATGTAATCACGTTTCTTCCACAGGTATTTATTTTTAAGACCAGCCTGCTAAAGGCAAAGTTTAGCTCATTTGGAATGTGAGACAACATACAGCTTCTGTGTAACAAATGGCTTAGCTTACTCTGGGTTCTTGAAAGAGAATTGATTTATGTGGCTTATCAATTTGTCAGTCCTTACCACAAATTGAGCAAAGTAGGAGTTAGAAACGATAATCAAAGAACCAGCAGGAATTTTATTCTTACACACAATTCTTAGAAGAGACAAAGGCTATGAATTGAGGACATGGTTCTCAATGCTTCAGTTCTCCAATGACTGGGGTTGAGTGGTGCGGCCTGAGGAGCAACCAGCTGCACAGCCAAGAATTCAGGGTGAAAGGACACTGTCCAGATGGGTGACCCCAAAATGTGCCTGCACCAATGTCAGTTCCATGTCCTCACCTATCAAATGAAAGGATGGATTTGCTGATTTCTAAGGTCTCTGCTAACTACACCATTATGGGATTTACATGACTTATGAAAGCATCTTGCTGCAAATTTTTTTAACTACAAAGTTTAGATAGTAAAAAAGATGCCATTGAGGGGTTTTATATAGTTTTAGCTGGGGGTTTTCTTTACCTTTGCATTGACCTTAGTAAGCTGAATTGAAATGATTAGCCAATCACTTGAGAATATTATTCTTACTGAATATATAAATGATATACTGAAATATCATGGAGGAAGAAGAAATTAAAAATTAGTGTGACCTGGTTATGGAGAGCTATTCCAAAATTATGCCACAAAATTACAAGCACGCTTCCTACAAAAGTGGAAAATATTGTTGGAAGTTTAAAATATGACAGGTAGAGGCCTACTTTTAAAAATAAAGATTTTAAAAAATATTTTATCACAATCCTTTATTCTGAAAAGAAAGTTTACAGTGCAGAGGCTGTTCAAGTTAAATTTATATACAATTCTGAGTGCTTTTTTTTTAAAGCATTATGATTAACAGTTTATTAGGGGCTTAAGATTTTTAGACTTGCACAATTTTTAAAGCTAAAGTCTTAGGCTGAATTTTTAGTTTCTGTATAATTTAAATAATTCTCTTTTACGAAACACCACAAACATACTGTTTGCTCCCCCCTTTAAAAACAGTGACATAAGAAGTTGGCTAAGGTGTGGTGAATGAATGGGTACTCATCCACTGCTAGTGGTGTGTAACATCTCGGGAGATGATCTTTCTGTAAGATGGCATGTCCTTACATAGAAATAGTCATACTCTTTCATTCCTGAATGTATTAAAGTAATAAAGTGATGAACATAAAAATGTATGCTATATAGATATGTAGGACAGTCTTGTTTATATTATTGGTAATTGATAACAAATGTCCAATAGCAGTGAAATTATTCAATTCATGCTGGCAATATACACAGAGAAATACCATGCTGCCAATGAAATTATGTTTTTAATAACATTAATAATATGGAAAGTATCACACTGTATACTATTATATGAAAAGCGTAGAATTCAAAACCACACACAGGGTTAATGATTTGAAACTTGTAAAAGAATAAAAATATTCCAAAATATTACTAATTATGTCTTTGAGTGGTAGAGTTATGGCAGATTTAAGTTTCCTTCTTTATTCCCTAAAATTCCCAGAAATTTTTAGAATCCAGGGGAGTTATTAAAAGTCAGAATAAAAACAAAGTTCTTGCCTTGGAAAGCATCACCCAAATGGTCCAAAACAATTACATATTTTCTTTTAGCACATCAGCTAACTGAAGTGTTTGGTGAACTTCTATTCAGCATTCACGGTACCCTTACTTCCATCATCTGTGCTTGTGGATGGAATGTAAATTTATTTAATGACTGGCTGAGACATTACTGCTTTTGTTCTCACCTGTTCATTGTTTCTTCTCAAGGTCCCCTTAGAAACCCTTTGCTCCACCTTTGCTCTAACTTCTAATTTCTTCTCTATGGTTCTAGTGACAGATATTTAGTTGCTCTCTTTCTGTCTTTCCTCTGCAATTTCCTGTTTTGAAATGTACATACCCAAACTCTTATTTCAGGGTTAACAGCAGTGACCTTGGCAGCTAGATACTGCGGACATGACAGACGCCCTCTATGAAAAAGTGCACTAGCAAGATGTGCACCAAATAGCTGGCTAGGAGCCACAGAGAGCATGTGGAAGGACCTTTGCCTGGAACCACAGCCTGCTTTTCAACCCTTTCAAAGTGTCTCTCTTTGCAGACTGCTGGGCAACTGGGTCACACACAAGCGAAAGTAAATAGTGATACACAAATCATCAACACCACAAGCCACTAACTGTCAGTCTTGCTGACAGTGAAGGTCCTGCGTAAAGAATAATAATCAGCTACATCATCATCAAAATGATAGATTAACAAGTCTGAATTAAAATGTATGGCTTCCTTAAAGACAAAAAGTAGGGGACAATGGATACATATACATTTTATCAAGGAGTCGGTAGAAGATGTTATGAGGAACAGAATAAAAATGAATTTGTGATTGGAACCAAGGTAAGCATTTAAATGATGATTTCTGGGATTAGGTATCAAGTATCCCTGTCTAGCTGCCTTCCTCACTGAAACCTCCATTCCTGGGTTCAAGTGAATCTCCTGTCTCAGCCTCCCGAGTAGCTGGGACTCAGGCGCCCATCACTATGCTCGCCTAATTTCTGTATTTTTAGTAGAGATGGGGTTTCACCATGTTGGCCAGGTTGGTCTTGATCTCCTGACTTCATGATCCACCTGCCTCAGCCTCCCAAAGTGTGGGATTACAGGTGTGAGCCACTGTGCCCAGCCCTAAAAGCAGTTTCTCAGCATAAGAAACACATTGAAAAATGAGTGATGAGCCAGATGCAGTGGCTCATGCCTGTAGTCCCAGCACTGTGGGAGGTCAAAGCAGGTGGATTGCTTGAGGACAGGAGTTCAAGATCAGCTTAGGCAACAAAACTAGACTGTCTCTATAAAAATATAAAAATAAAAATTAGCTGGGTGTGGTGGTATACACCTGTCTTTGCTACTTGGGAGGCTGAGGTGGGATGATCCCTTAAACCCAGCTGTTGGAGCCTACAGTGAGCTATGACCATGTCACTGCACTCCAGCCTGGGTGACAGAGCAAGACCCTGTCTCTTAGAATAAATAAACAAATAAAGGAAAAATGAAGATGAAAGTGTTCATCAATATTATTTAAAAGTAAACACCCAAAAAATCCTAAAATCAAATATTAAAAATGTATAAGGTTGCCTTAAAAGTGAGACCAAATAAAGAATTACTAATGGTATGGGCAAATTCTTAAAATATTAAGTTTTATAAATGCAGTCACACAAGTTCATATTAAATGCATAGAAAAACATCCAGAAAATGCAATAAAATGTTAAAATTATAGTTAATATCCGGCGAGTGAAATTAAAGATGAATTTCATATTATTCTTTGGGCCCTTCTGTATTTCCACAATGCATACATTGGCCATGTCTTCCTTTTTCTGTTTGAATAAAGTTTATTGGTATAGTTTACATAAAGTAAAACTTACCTGCTTAGTGTCTAATTTGATTAAGTGTTGACATAATCAAGTAACCACCACCACAATCAACTAATAGAACATTTCCACCTCCCTAAAAGTTCCCTTACGCTTTGGTGATTCATCCATGTTGTTGTATGTAATTAATATAATTGCTAACCAATAGATATTTCATTGTAGGGACTCACAAGAATGTGCTTATCTATTCACTAGTTGGTGGACATTTAAGTTGTTTCCACTTCTTTGGACATCATAAATAAAGCTATTATAAACACTGTGTACAAGTATTTTTGTGTATCATGTGTTCATTTCTTTTGGGTAAATATCTAGGAGTGGGACTGTGGGGTCACATTGAAAGTATATGTTTAACTTTATAAGAAACTGTCAAACTTTTTTCCAAACTGCCTATATCATTTTGAGTTACCAACTGCAAATATTTAAGAGTACATCTTACTTTTGTAATCAGAAAAAGTTACCATTATTAAATATTTGGGGGATGTGGTCATTATGACTATAAATATGCATTTCTGGTATGACTAAGTCAAATGCTTAAAGACCAAAGATAAAAGTCCTTTATCTCATTATCTTGAGTACAGTGGAGACATCCTATAAGCTTTCATGCTTAAATGGCCTTTCTAGTTGTCAAGGTCATTCTCGAGTTTTGGAATTTATAATAGTCTAAATTCCTTGTTGATGGAATTTACCTCAGAAGAGCTAGAATGTGGAGAGAATGAGGAAAATGGAGCCAAAATCTTTGGACTATTTGGTAAATATTTGATAATCCATTCATTAGAAAACATCTACAAAACTAAAAAAGCATTGCTGTTGAATTACTGTTCTTTATTGTTTCTTAATATTCAGTGTTATAATTTTTTTATGCATCTAAGTTCAAAAGGATTTCTATTTCAGAAAAATTTGTAAAAGTTACATTTAACCTGATATTATGCTTTACCAGGCAATAGATTTTGTTCATTACACTTACAGGTTCCAGTATCTTTAATTACTGAAAAATGAGTTACTCTATATAGAAATATTGTGTGTATATATATATATATATATAATCTACAGCCAATTTTTAAATAATTTGCATATAAAAATGGAGTTGACTTCAAACAGTTAAAAAATATATAACTGGGTCTTTAATGATTAGAAAGGCTCCAATAATAACTGACAGTCATTGTTATAAAAATAAATTATAACTGCATAATTATGTAAAAGGAAAAGGCACAACTGATAAAATTAAATCTAACCATTTATTTGACATATAATGGAAATACAATTAGTTTATCAGATCTTTGATAGCTATTTACTTGCATTAAAATATCTGTTTTTAATGTTATTATCATTTGCATTCTGAGCAATTGGCATTTTACTGCTTTATAAAGTATGAGTCTACCAAATAAACACATAGAAGAATATTATCTA